GTGTCCCGCAAGAGTGTTGCACGAGAGTGTCTCCTACAAGAGTGTCCAACAAGAGTGTTGCACGAGAGCATATCCTACAAGAGTGTCTCACAGGAGTGTCCCACAAGAGTGTGTCCTACAAGAGTCGTCCCACAAGAGTGTTGCACGAGAGCATCTCCTACAAGAGTGTCTCACAGGAGTGTTGCACAAGAATATCTCCTACAAGAGTGTCCCGCAAGAGTGTTGCACAAGAGTATCTCCTACAAGAGCGTCCCACAAGAGTGTCAAACAATGTTTGGCCCTTTGTTTTCGGGCGCATGTGTGCATTCGGGTTCGTGGACTCCATCTTGTTTTTTGCTCGAGAAGATCTCATCGCAAAACCATCAGCTGATCCCTAGAACTCTGCCGAACAAAAACACCAAACTCCATGCCCACACGACCACACCCCCAAGACCCACAAGAGGAAGTCCACTGCTTGGTGGAGGTTGTGGAGCTCAATCTTGGTTTGAACAGGTTTCATTTTGAGCTGCGTGTCGACCACGGTAAAATGTTCAACCCGTGCTCTGATCCGATCATTGCTACTTGATATGTTCAGAAGCCGCCTTGGCCGGGCTATCAAAAAGAAAATTAATATATATCAAAAAGAAAATTTCTATATCCTATCAAAAAGAAAATAAATTCGTATCAAAAACAAAATATCTCTCACAAAGAGCTGCGCCTGCCACTGCAAACCGCCTTGGCAGCGCTGCGCGATGTGAATCTGGATGTGCAGATTTCGTGGCGCGGGCCGCACTTTGAGCATCTCCAGTAGCAGATTTCGTCGCAGGAGCAGCACTTTGTGCACTGGAACTGCAGATTTCGTGGCGGGCGCAGAACTTTGTGCACTGGAACTGCAGATTTCGTGGCAGGCGCAGCACTTTGAGCACCTCCAGTAGCAGGTTTCGTGGCAGGAGCGGCACTTTGCACATTGGAAGTGCAGATTTCGTGGCAGGCACAGCGCTTTGAGCACCTCCATGCAGCAGGTTTCGTGGCAGGAGCGGAACTTTGTACGCAGCACTTTGAGCACTTTCAGTTGCAGGGCTCGTGGCAGGCGCAGCATTTTGCGCACTGGAACGAGCTCTTGATATCTCTGGATCTGAACATCTTTCTACACCCTCTGCAAGTATAGACTCCTAGAACTTAGATTTCACCACCTCCCTGGATCTCAAGACTCAAGACCTCTAAACCTCCATCTTTAGGTCTGTCGTTTTCTAGACCTCTACACCTGCAGATCCGTCTGGATCTCCAGGCGTCTGGATCTTTGTAGATGTAGACCTCTCTGCATCTCAACCGTGATCTCTCTGAATTTCACGATGGCTCACAAAACCACAAGACCTGTGGATGGCTCACAAAAGGTCTGCTATGTTGGAATGGCACCTTCCCCCTCCAAAGTTTATGCTGACAACAGGTCTGCTCCTGTAAATTTTGCCCTCGCGTGGCTCACAAAAGGTCTACTGCTCCTCTAAATTTTGATCGCAAAAGGTCTGCTACCTTGGCGTGGCACCTAGAGTTTATCCCCGGGTGGCTCACAAAAGGCCTGCTACGTCGGAATAGCAAGTTCTACCCTCGCGTTGCTCACAAAACAAAGGCCTGCTACGTTGGAATGGCAACTTCTTCCTCTAAGTTTTAACCTCGCAAGGCTAACAAAAGGTCTGCAACGTTGGAATGGCTCCTTCCTCTTCAAAATGTTGCCCTCAGGTGGCTCACAAAAGGTTTGCTACCTTGGACTGGCACTTCGTCTAAATTTTACCGTCAGGGTGGCTCACAAAAAAAGGTGTGCTACGTCTGGCAATAAAAGGCCTGCTACGGTGCTTCACAGGATGTATGACCAGATTTCCAAATCACCTTTAACGCGTCTTGCCTCGAAAGTACAGACCCAAGGACCCGAAGACCAGGACGAAGGACCAAAGGACCAAGGGACCAGAGGACCAAGGGACCAGAGGACCAAGGGACCAGAGGGACCAAGGGACCAGGGGACCAAGGGACCAAGGGACCAGAGGACCAAGGGACCAAGCGACCAGGGAACCAGCAGACCAGGACCAAAGGAGTAGGGGGAATTTTATGTTTGATATGAATTAATGTTTTTTGATAGGAATGAATTTTCTTTTTATAGGAATCAATTTTCTTTTTGATAGGTATCCCAGCCGCCTTAATGTAGACTGTCGATTCGTAAGACCTCCTGCATAGAGACGCAAAGCCATTCTAGGGGGTTATTGATCAACAGTCAGACTATCAATTACAGTATTACATCTTGTAGCTTGGTGGCAGTTCCAAAAAAGATCTGGGGCCCACACCAAAGGAATGCAAAGACCGAGGACCATCAGATCCTGATGGAAAATGAGTGGCGTCCGTGGAAATCACCCTTCTCTCTCATCGCATTGAAAACACACGAAGGTCTCGCTGCTGCTGATGCACTGATGGTCGGAAGATATCCCCTGCAGGAACTTGGACCAAAAACACGAGTGGCTTCTGGGGAAACCGAGGGAAGACACCCCAGACCTTCATTTCTCAGTTCTTCCCACCCACAACCCCGGCTCGGCCCGGCTGCAACCCTCGAGTCAGTCCCGCGGGCCCCCCGGGTCGGTGCGAACTCGCCTTCGGAGGGAAAACCCATCTGGCCCAAAGTCTTCACGACCATCTCAGTACATCTCTCCACCCGCTATGCGGCGGCCCAGCGCCAGAGATGAGGGTGTTCGTGGCCCCACCCCTTTTACTATCTACTTATACCTTCTAATTTCGCGGACAGACCAAGGGTCTCATATATGTCTTTTCCTTTTCTTGAGATACCCCTGAAAACCAGAAGAAAGGATGGTCCACTACATCAGAATTGTGAAGACGATCGTTCTTTGCGGTCACTCTTTTTGAGCGAGCTTGAGTTCGTGGATGTTCTCTACGTGGGTCTATCCTCCAAGCACGCTCCACTTGCTTGGCCGAGTTGAGCATCTCTTGCTCCCAAGGCCCAAAAAGATCAATGCCTCAAGAAGAAGCGAGCTAAAAAGAACTTCCACTAGGAGCACAAAGTGGTGGTTTTTGAGTCCCCAAGTGAGTGGATGTTCTGGGCACCCAACTCCTTCCTCAGTTCGGCACCCCAAAAGAGGTGATCTGACTCCCAGCTCCAGCTTCTTCATGACCCCTTTGGAGTGTCAGCCACCGCCCAAACTCCTGACCGAACCAACTGGGAGTGCCAACTGACTCGGTCACGAACGGTTCGGCTGTTTCTTGTTGCTTCGGGTGTCCCCAAATTCATCCAAGATTGCAGGTGATCCGGTCGCCCTCCTGCCCTCCTGCCCGCGCGAAAACGAACTTCTTTGCGCGGCTGGCACGCGCCTGAGTCAGGGGGGCCTCCATGTTCTCGAACTTCCAAACCTCAAAGAAGCCACCGGGCCACCGAACGAAGCTCTGGGTGAGCGCAGGTAGCGAAGAAGCAGGTACCACTTGGTGTTCTTTGTGGTTGAGGAATCCTTGAAATGTGTTTGTTTGTTCTCTTTGGTCCTGCTTGAAGCTGTCTTAAAATGATTCATAATTTATGTATCAATTGCTTCTGATTTGAATGGTTCACGTCCTTCTGGAAGACAATGAAAGACATTTTTGAAGGTTGCCCCTAAGGCCCCAAAACTCCCAGATGGGGGTTTTGGGGCTTTGATAGGCTCATCAACCCTTTGGAAGCGGTCCTTGCAACGATGCAGGACTTCGAATGGTTTATCGAACGTTTAAAAAAACAACAAAAGAATCGCAGAGCGAACTTGTCATCTGTACATTCATCCACCTTCTGTGATCACTTCAAGTGCGCATCCTCTTTCCACCTCAACAACTGCCACGCAACCGAAATCCTCCCAGTGCTTGAGGTCGTGTCCACAAGGTCATGTCTATATATAAGGTTTATCTCAAAAGCCCAGTCATCCCTGATTCGATCCGCAGGGCTGTGCCATGCCAAGTATTGGGAAATGATGGTCCTCAGTCCTCAGATTTCTGGAAGTCTTATGACAAGTCCCGTCTGGGGGCTCTCTCTCTGTCTCTCTGTCTCTTTATGTGTTTTTCTCTCCTTTTTCTTTATGTGTCTTCCTTTCCTTTTCTTCCTTTCGTGTTTCCTTGTTTCTTCCTGTCTTTTCCTTCCTTGTTCTTCCTTTTTCTTTCTTCCATTATCTTTCTTCCTTTCTTTTTCTTCCTTTCCTTTTTCCTTTTTTCTTTCTTTCTTTTCCTTCCTTGTTATTCCTTCCTTGTTCTTCCTTTTTCTTTCTTCCTTTCTCTTTCTTCCTATCTTTTTCTTCCTTTCGTTGTTCCTTTCTTCTTCCTTTCTTTTCCTTCCTTGTTCTTCCTTTGTCTTTCTTCCTTTCTCGTTCTTCCTTTCTTTTTCTTCCTTTCCTTTTTCCTTCTTCCTTCCTTTCTTTTCCTTCCTTGTTCTTCCTTCCTTGTTACTCCTTGTTCTTTCTTCCT